AATGGCCTACCTGCATTATAGAATCACGCTGAATTAGAAAACCACTTTCATCAGTCTTGGGGTTTATATGACAAGAGATGGTTAAAACTATGTGTGCAGGACTGGCCTTGTTTAAGAAAGTATTACCTGCACCTCACTTCTGTGACTCTTCTTTGCTGTGCTAATTACATCAAGATCATGAGTATCGAACTGCCAGCCAGTCAAATTGATCTTTTGCAAATAATCTAGCTGAGTTATCACAGGGGTCGTTGTCCACACTAAGTGGGTGGAAGGCAGGAAGCCTTGCTGTCAGCTGAAATCGAGCAAGGCCACCTTCTTGAGATCTGATAGCACCCCTAGGATGGTCAGCCATCCATCGCTTGTCATGAGATTCTCTGCCACGTCCAGGTGCTGGAGCTGTCTCAGGGATGTCTTCATGAAAAGTTTACTTCGGAAAATATTTTACAGGCTTATTATTTTGAGCAATCTTTAAAAGTTTCTGATCCTATGTAAGCCTCTCTTGGAGATTTTTTGACTGAAGAGTTGGATGAAAATTAAATAATAAAACATCCCAGACTGAAGGTTCTTCAGAGAGGTTGTAAGAAAACTGGGAAGATGGAAAGACATAACCCTGTGGTGGAGAAACAGTTTTATCTGTTGAGTGTCATGTGAAGGGATATTTTGCCTGTCAACTGCCTAGTCACTGCATTTGAACTATGAAGTACATGCTTACCAAAATTATTGCCCACATACCATCTAGGCTTTCTTTCTGTGGATCTTTTATCTGTGGCACCATTTTTGCTCTCTGTTGCTCATCTTCTGTGGTAAGAGATGTTGATTCCACAATAAGGTCTTGCAAGTTTGTACAACTTTTGAGAACTTCCCTCAGCTTTCCTTTTTTATTATTTTGTTTATGCATTTTTACAACTTATAGATACATCATATAGTATTCATCATTATCTAATTCTGTGTATTCTATCAATTTATTCTGCCAAGTTTCTTTCATGGGTATCTCTTTTTCTTTCCATTTTTTCGCATATACCACTCTAGCTGTGGTGGTCGTGTATAAAAAGAGATTGAGTGCCTCTTTTGGAATATAATCACTTGTTATCCCTAATAGAAATGCCTCAGGTCTTTTGGGAAATGTGATCTTAAGGATCTTTTTAAATTCTGTATAAATCATCTCCCAGTATTCTTTAGCATATTTACACGACCACCACACGTGGATCAGGGTTCCCTCTACCTTGTGGCACTTCCAGCATAGATTTGACCCTTTTCTTCCTTCAGCTTTCCTGTGGGGCCAGGACTTTTGCTGATCTTCAGCCTAAGACGTGATACAGAGCGGCATGTTTTTTCCATCACCTCTTCCTAATTTGTTGAATTCCTTGAGTGTAATTTCTAAAGAATTGATTTTTGAGTCCCAGTTGAAGAATGAGGAGACAGCCTTTTCAGGGATGACTGTTTTCAATGGAATAGTTTCAGAACATTCCTTTTTCCTTACCTTCTACATCTCCCAAGAGGAGGAACTGCCAAAAAAAAAATCTAATTTGATGAGTTCCAGCATGCTCACACAATTAGAAATTATTATTTAAAAAAAACAACCCAAACACCCCATAAATGTATGTAGGAATGATCTGAGTATTGATGTATAGCTTTTTATCATGGAAAAATTCCTCAAAGTCTTCTCTCAGTTGTTTCAGAGATACTTTCATAGAGGAAGCTAATGGCACACTCCACAAATGAGTTTCCAAGAACTGCAACTAGTGCTTCTTCCACTTGATAATTTCCTTCCTTTTTCATGGATTCTATTTCTGATGACAGATCATGGGAAGATGGCAATCCAGAAAGACTGTCTTGCTGATGAATGGGTGATAGGTGCCTGATAATTTTTCTGGTGGCTACAAGTATACACAAAAAGAAAGAAAGAAAAAGACGTAAACTGCGGTATGTAGTAATAATATCTGAGATGCTATTCATTCTTAGAAGGTAACTATGCCCTCTGGCCTCCTCCTCATCCCAATTGGATGTTAATAACTTGGAAGTGTATTCCTGGAAAGACTTATGAAAAATTCAAGATACCGGCTTTAGTCTCCGAGCTGTGTATTTATTCATGAGGACTATAGCTAGCAGGACTTGTTCTTTCACACTGGAGAAATCCTCAGGCTGAAAATCAAATTTGTGGTCAAATACTCCCTCTAGTGCTAAATATCCACAGGGGTTTATGCTTAGGCGAAAATGGTCTTCACGAATCCCTCTGCTCTTGTGCTTGTTTTCCCCCGCCAGCAAATCATGTATTGTAGAGAAGAGAATGGTTTGTTTTGTGGATTTAAAGTAGTTTCCCCCACTTGGATGGCACAAGCAATAACTACAAACAAAGGGGTCTTCATATGGTTCTTGACCTGATTTCTGAAAAAAAGAATCTGTTGTATCCACTTGAGACAACAAGCCTTCTGCTAACTGGCCTTTCAAAGCATTTCTAACTAGCTGTTTTGCACTTTCCTCAGCCAGATCACCTGTCTCATAAATCAGCAACCCAAAAAGCCTCAAACTTCTAATTGACTCAGTCTTTGTAGTAACAATGACTGTTTTTGAATTTACAAATGTCTTTGATCAGTGATTCTGTTTCTGTGCATCTCTGGGGTTTGAATTCATCATATCCATCAAACAGAAAACTCTTGTTTGCCCATCTCATATTGTTCTGTAAGAAGTTGCTCACACACTGTTTCATACAGTCCAGCCTGAGTACTGCTCAGACTGATAAAGAAAACAAGCTTGAATTTTCTCATCGAATGTTGGTTTCAATTAGCCCACAACCAGGCAATCCTTTTGAGGAGAGTTGTTTTTCCTTTGCCAGCTTCTCCCTCTATTATACAGGTTGCCATATTTCAAAAAGTTGTTGAGTTTTTGTTTTTGTTTTGCAAAATCTCCAGAAAAACCCAAGGTTTTTAAAGAAAATTCACCAAAAAAATCAATATTTCTGAGATGAGCTGCCATACGCCAAACATTTTAACTGATTTTAGAAAATTCCACCCAGACGCTACTTTTGACAGATGAATCCCAGCTATGTCCAGGAAATTCCAGATGTATGGCAGCCCTAATGAGCCATCTTCTACTTCATCTAAAAGGGCATTTAAAGACAGCTGTCCTAGCCTCTAAAGCAAAGTATCTGTATAAGTAGTTGTAAAATTAAAAATGATGTCAATTTTTACACAGTTTTACACAATTCACACAGTAAGTCAAAATTTTAAAATAATGGATACTTATAAAAGTCAGCTAAGTCCTGAACCAAGCAATCAAGGTGTTCTTGAGACATTTGTCAAGCAGCACCTGAAAACAAACAACTGCAGGAACATCTTAATACAATGGTGGTGAACTTTGCTATTTGACAGCTAAATTGCAACAATATAAACTAACCATGTAGCTGGACTCTCAGCTCTAGTCAAGGGTGCCAACTTGAATAAAATACAATACAATCTTAAGCGTGCCTATTCAGAATTAAGTCCCACTGAATTAAATGTGCTTATTCTCAAGTCACTGTGTACAGGGTTTAGTCCGAAATAGACCTTTGCACAACTGATGTTGTTTGTGTATGGGGGGGGGGAGATCTTCCAGATTGTAGCTGCACCCTAAATTGCAAATGTGTTGTTAGCAAGTTATTTTTACTTACTGGATTTCCCTCATAAAGGGCTAAATTCCGATTAAGTTGGGGAGTGTTGATGCCAACAGCATTGTATAGATGCAGGAAAGAACTTGCATGCATGAGCACCAATCCCACTATAAACGCCCAGCTTGGAGCAAAGAGAGGATGTGTGTACACACATCATTTTGGAGTGGATTGGATGCATCCCATGTATGCACGTTTTTCACGTCTGTCCTTATCTAAGTGGCAGCATACACTCGCCCCCACCCCAATCAAACTGGATTTCCCGTTTGTGGAAAATCCATTAGGAAAGGGGGGAAAACCAATATAAATTTCCATTGTGGACACACTGATGTGCACTGGGGGGGGGGCTTTTCACATATGTGATGATGTTTTTGCTGAGTACAATGCTTCAAAGGCTGAAGTATGTATACAGCCCAGGTGTGAAAGAGAACCTAGGATACTAAAAGGTAGAAACCATAGTAAAGGTAAAGGGACCCCTGACCATTAGGTCCAGTCGTGACTGACTCTGGGGTTGCGGCGCTCATCTCGCTTTATTGGCCGAGGGAGCTGGCGTACAGCTTCCGGGTCATGTGGCCAGCATGACTAAGCTGCTTCTGGCGAACCAGAGCAGCGCATGGAAACGCCGTTTACCTTCCCGCCGGAGCGGTACCTATTTATCTACTTGCACTTTGTGCTTTCGAACTGCTAGGTTGGCAGGAGCAGGGACCGAGCAACGAGAGCTCACCCCGTTGCGGGGATTCGAACCGCCAACCTTCTGATCAGCAAGCCACAGCGCCACCCGCATCCCAGGTAGAAACCATAGCCAGCCGCTATAACTCAGTGGCAGAATATCTGCTTTGTATGCAGAAGGAAGACCTCATAATAAATAATAATAATAATTTATTTATACCCCGCCCATCTGGCTGGGCTTTCCCAGCCACTCTGGGCGGCTTCCAACAAAACCTCAGGCTCATTCCTAGGCATATCCAGGTAGGACTAGGTAGGGCAACCCCCAGAAACCCTGGAGAGCGGCTGCCAGTCAGTGCGCCGTAGACCCCACTGAGCTAGCTGGGCTGGTCTGACTCGGCGTCAGGCGATATCCAATACAAGGCGTGGGAGCGGCCAATGACGCGCGAGTTGCCCGAGGAAGGCGGAGTTAGGCCTCCCGTGGCCGGATGCACTCGCATCCTCCCCTCCCTCTTCGCAATCGTCCACATCGAATCTATTTCCCCCTTCCTCATCGCGAGCTCCCATTCAGCCAATCACCGGGCTCGATGGCCCCGCGCACCAATGAGATTTGTCGCACAGGTGGGCGAGGCGACGGCAACGAGGAAGCACTTTTCATCCCGGCCAATCGGAGAGGGCCTTACTGAGGCCCACTCGGAAGGGCGGCCTCACGGTTGTTTTGTCCCTCAGTCAGGAAGAGGCGGAGGAGGCTGCGGTGGCAGCAGCAGCAGCAGCAGCTTTGGCTCGGCTCTGCTTCTCCGGGTTGCTGCCGACGGGCTTCCCGGTGGTGTCGCTCGCTCGACGGGCCCGGCTTTCGAGGCTTTAAGCGGGCGGGGCGATGCAGCCTCCGGGCCCCCAGCAGCCCCCACGGCCCCCGCCGCCGCCCCTTTACGCGCCCAACAACGGGGACTTCACTTTCGTCTCTTCTGCCGACGCCGAAGGTAAGAATTGGGGGGGTCTTGCAGTGGGAAGGGAAAGGGCGCCCCTTCCTCCAGCGCCCCTTCCCGGAGCTGCGTCAGGGGCGGCAGCCGCATACCCGGGGCTGCCATGCTGAATAAGCGGGTGCCGTCGGGCTTCTTTCTGCTGTTTGGGTGTGGGAATGTGATCCAGTGCAAATGCTCCGCCTTGTGGCCCCCGCCACAGGGTTTGCGTGGCAAAAGGCACCTGCGTGCAGGTGGGGAGTGTTTGACCCGCTTAAAAAAAGAAGCAGATGCAGATGGCGAGGGAGCTTTCTGGTGGTGGTACATGCAAGCTTTTGAATGGCAAATGAATGGAGGGCTAAATAAAATAGGTATGTGAGATCGACAGGCCACCCTCATCTTCCAGGCTTCTTCGTTTTACCTGCTTTTGGTAGCCTCACCCTGCACACAGGGTTGTCTGGAGGGGGCAAATCCTGGCATGGAAACTTGTGCTTTGGGAATGACCAGTTTTGTGCTGGGGAGAAATGGATTAGGTGTGCGTGGACGACTATATTGCAGCACATTTCACACATCCTGTCTTTTCTGAGAAGGCCGACTTCTGTGTTTTCAAGAACCACTGTGCTATTTAGACAGTGGTCTGCCAAATTCTTTGGTGCCCAGATAGCACTATGATGCGTATCTGATTTAGCTGCCCACATCAACCTGCTTTGTTGATTGGGATTATTGTGGCACAGTAGGCAGTACAGTCCTGACAGGGGTCCTTAAGCAGAAAAAACCAATATGCAGTGCATGCCCTTTGTTGGGTTGGGGGGGAAATGTTAGATCCTGGATAATTCAATGATCTCTTATAATAATATTTTCTATAATTTTGGTATATTCTACTTTTGTGGAATATATGTATTGAAACTCATGCATAATCACCTATTCTGTAACAAGGAAACTGTATTTTTGGTAGCTTTCTCATAAATGTGTCATTTTCCCTGTCAAGATCTGAGTGGTTCAATAGCCTCTGCAGATGTGAAGCTCAACCTTGGTGGAGGAAATGGGGAATTTATCAAAGAATCTACTGCAACTACATTCCTGAGGCAGAGAGGATATGGCTGGCTTTTGGAAGTAGAAGATGATGACCCTGAAGATAATAAACCTCTTTTGTAAGTAACATTACTCTGAGAGTCTTAGTTTAATTTTGTATTTGAAGCGGTTACTTGCTTTAGGTCAGTATTGTGTGTGAATGGTGAACAAGGATGCAATAGGACAATCATTAACTCTTCATTAACTACAGACCCTTGAATAAAGTGTAGAAACAGATTATTTGTGTCTCATTCAAGAGATTTTTTTTAGCATTATAAGTAAAGGTAAGAATTAAAGACAATTCATCACTGTTCATAGTGGACACATTCTCTCGTTACACTAAACTGTAGTTTACCGTGATGTGCATGAGCAGGAATAAGCAGCAATGAATGTTTGGCTTCTGCACTCCCCTCTCCTCTTCTTCTTGGCTGGGAAAAGGACTTCAGAAGTTCTTGCTTTTCCATAACTATGATTTGCCATGTTCTGTGAGGAAGAAACTGTGCCTAACTCTAATCTGCCTTAATTTCAAAGAAGCCAACTTCAAAATGTAGCTGAAGGTGGCTTGTTAAATCTAACAATAATTTTACACTTTTGCCTCTGTCTTAATGAAAGCAACTCTGTTTTTGTTAGCACCATGGTTGTGGGCTGTTTGTTTGTTGCCTTGCCTCCTTAGGTTTCCTGCTGCAGTCTTCTTTCCTGAGGGCTAAGAGCAGAGTAAGGAGTCAATAGGTTCTTATCCTGAGATTGGTAATGATAAAGGGCAGACTAGAAATGTATTAGAAAGTAATAACTATGGGGCAAATCTAGCTGTCAGGAACATATAATAAGCCTTGTTACTATTTGTCTTGCTGTTACAGAAAAGTGGCATTGCTTCCATTTGTTCAGTGATAGCTGAGGTTGTCGTGGGCAGAGAGCAATTTCTTTTTACTTTTCATGTTGTGATTTATATGTTTTCATTTCAGAAGCTGGCTAGAATGCAAATATATAAAAATATTCATTATATATATAATTAAATACAAAACATAATACAGCTATAATAATCTTAATAAACCTAAACCAAAACATATATTCTCAATAGTTCATATGAACATGTATGAATATTCTATAAATCTTTGAGCTACTTTGTTTTCTGGTGCTTAAATAATTTCAGAAGCATATTTTGAAAGTTGTATTTTTTTATATAACTTTAGGGAGGAGCTAGACATTGATCTGAAGGACATATACTACAAAATCCGATGTGTCTTGATGCCGATGCCTTCTCTTGGATTTAACAGACAAGTAGTAAGAGATAATCCTGACTTCTGGGGCCCTCTAGCAGTTGTCCTGTTCTTCTCAATGATCTCATTATATGGACAATTCAAGGTGTGTAAAGGCCTTTATCTTAAATAACAATAAAGGTAGCTGAGTTATCACATGGTCTTAGGCAAGTGTCCATTGAAAAGCATTTTTCTTTTGTCATGATCTGAAATAAATGCACAGTTCTTATAAACATAGAATTCTAGAATTGGTAGGATCCTGAGCATCATCTAGTTTAGCCCCCTGCAATGCAGGAATTCTGCCCACAGGCGTCCCTGGGTGGGCTTGAACCACCAACCTTCTGGTTAACAGCCAGACACACTGACCCATTGTGCCACAGTATGTTTTGTACAACTTGACATATAACCAGAGGTAAATTGTTCTGGAAAAGAATGTTGGAATGCTATTCCTCCCTTGCTTTCCTTCCCCTAGTGGTTCTTTATCTAGCCATGCAGTCCTGTGCATGCAACCATAGGGACATCATTGAGGGCAAAAACTCCTGAACACTCAGAATTCTAGCCAACAGATAGAGTCAGATGTGAATGCAATATTCCAGACTGAAGAATTAAGTGATCTTTTGAACACACTAAGTCAGAAAAGAAATGAGCAACCCTTATTCACCACCCCCATTTTGGGTGCAATTATTCCAGTGCACAAAGGTGGGGCTTCTCTTTATTTGTAATTTAAAAGCTCTACAAGGAATTGCAGTAGAGCTCTGATGACTATTGCCATCCTTCCTTCACACAGTGCTTCTGAGAATTACATCAGTGTATTTTCAGAGGCGCTCTAGGGAGGAAGGAATGAAGAAACAGCAACCGTAACTCTGTTTCTGTTGCTACATAGCTCTGGAGTACCAGCACCACCCAAGGAAAGCTTATAACATTTAACACTTTCTAATTTTGAAAAAAGACATAAAGGGCAGAGCATGATAAAGGTGTATAAATGGTGTATAGGATTGGAAGAACAGAGAGATAAATTTGTCTGTTTTGATAAGTAGAAACCAGGGCCACCCAATGAAGCTGAATATTGGAAGATTCAGGAAATACTACTCCACACAATGCATAGTTGAACTATGGAATACACAACCACAAGTTGCAGTAATACTTTAAAAGTGGACTAGACAAACTCATGGAGGAAAAGGCTATCCATGGCCATTAGTCATGATGGCTGTATCCAACCTCCAGTATCAGAGGTGGCATTCCTCCAAATACCAGCTGCTGAGGAACATGAGTGGGGATAGTTATGTTGTGGTCATGTATAACATATAGGTTTTCCCTAGACATCTGGTTGGCCACTGTGAGAACAGGATGCTAGATGAGATGTGAGCTGGGTCTGATCCAGTGGGGTTCATATGTTTAGCTGCAGCTTTTATACCATAAGAAAAATCAGGAACCCCTGATGCCACAATGGTAAACCTTCTTCCTTCAATGGTTGCAAAAGAGGGGAATACCTGCTAATAACTTAAAGAAGTTAGCTGAGCTGTGTTCTTTCAAAATTAGTTGTTCTTGATGAAAGAAGATAGAGTATTGACGTGACTCTTTTAAACATTTCTTAAGGTGGTATCATGGATTATAACTATTTGGATATTTGGATCCTTGACAATATTCCTGTTGGCCAGGGTTCTCGGAGGCGAGGTAAGAACCTTGTGATAGTGAACTTGGTCACTGAACGTCAAACATGAATTACCTCAAAATTGGTTCTAACCATTTGCGTTTTCAGTGTTACATTGCTTAATAATTTCTGATCTGAGACTCCTTTAAAATAGTACTTGGTCACTATTATTTACATTTTAACATTAATACAGCAACCTAGAATGCAGAATAGAGAAGGGATTTGATTCTTTCCACAGGGGGCTTATAACTGACTTTTGGCTGATAAGGTGGCAAAAGGGATTGACTGAAGATTTATGAGGTGGAATAACAGTGCAGATAATGTGATAGGTCAGAAAAGGACTGGATTAAGGATGGAGAAAGTGTTGGGAATAAAAGCAACACCTGGAGGATCAGAGGTTCCCCATCTCTAGACAAGCTGAAGAAGAGGGTTTGGGGGAGTTGCCATATAACAAAATGTTGACCTCTTGGGCTCAGGTTGAGCAGTAATCTGAATCTCTTGTTGAAGCTGATATATTACTGGAAGGAAGTTGGTAACTTTGTTTATTTCAAATTTGCAGGTTGCATATGGCCAAGTTCTCGGCGTGATTGGATATTCTTTACTTCCTCTTATTGTAATAGCACCTGTACTTCTGGTGGTTGGATCATTTGATGTTGTTTCTACTCTAATAAAAGTAAGTTCACTATTTTGTTTGGCAGAATGGCACAGCTGACTGAAAAATATGCCAGTTCATTTTTCTACAGTTTATAAGCAATAAATATTTTCTTTACTTGGAAGTGGAACCATGACTACTCAGCTAGTCCATATCAGTAAAGCATTGTTTGGAATCCTTTATGGCAGATTAGCAACAGATTAGGGTGCTTAAGTTTTATATATAAGATGCCCATGAGTATTGGAGTTCAGGTTTTGTTCTGTTCATATTTTGTTACCTTGTAATAGTATATGCAAAACAGATTCTGAATTTTGTTGGTCTGTTACCCTATAGCATGCCCGTTCAACTCCTAAGAGAGGCATTGCCATTGAGGACTGACCAGAGATGTTGAGCTTTTTGGGGGGAGAATTGACCAGAATTGTTGAGCTTCTTTAGGGGGGCATTCACCACAGTTGATAAGCTTTTTTTTAAGGGGGAATGACATAAATCGCTCACCTCAAACTCCCCCGCTAACAAACACACACACTGCTAAATCTTTGTATTCCCCATCGCCAACATAAAACGCTAAACACCACCCATTTGATGCTACAGAGGGACAGAGTGAGGGGGGGCGGGGGCGAAGTCATTCATTCTGCAGCTTTTTTAATCCCATGATCAATAAGGATCCCGCGATTTACAGGGAACACCAGGGGATCTACCTGTCAATTGCGGTCGACCAGTTGAATATGTTTGCCCTATAGCAATTCAAAAACACTGTGATTTGTCTTGCATATTTTGCATATTTTGCCATTTATGTGGCTTGTAAACTGCCTTCAGTACAGTAATGTGGAAGGACAATATTCAAAAATTTAAATATTAGAGGAACTTTATTTACAATATTGCTGCCATCCACAGGATGGCACCATTCCAGTGAGCAATTATTTCATCTGATGTAGAAGATCACATGACACTGCAACTTTCACATTAGCTGTGTAAGCTCACAGATTTTCTAATGCTGCTTTCTTAATTGAATGGGACAGCTGGCTGAAGCACCCATGTGAACTGATCTGTCATTTCAGTCACTAAAAGGCAACAAGAAAAACAACTTGGAATGCCTTTGTGAATAGTTTCTTGGCTCCACTGATTTTCAATAGGCCTTGATTTTTAAGTCCTGTGCTTGGTCACAACTGGTTCTGCTTGTTCTAGATATAAATATTGGGAGAGTTTGAGGGGGTTTCATGCTATGATAACATTTCATTTTCTTGTTTTTCTCAGCTTTTTGGAGTATTTTGGGCTGCATACAGTGCTGCTTCGTTATTAGTTGGAGAAGAATTTAAGACCAAGAAGCCCCTCCTAATCTACCCCATCTTCTTATTGTACATCTATTTTTTGTCCTTATATACTGGGGTGTGACTGCAGTGTTGGCTTTGGACAGGAACAATGTCTTAGCTTGCCATGAGGACTGATGAAATGTTGCCTGATTGAAAATACAAATGACTGTGTCATATCTGGCTGTCAAGGTTTTAGTGGTAATCCAACTATATCTGTGTATATTATTTAAGCAGTTTTAGTTACATTAGAGATTTATAACAGAGTTTTAGGTTGAAGACTTATTAGATTTTTATTGAACAAAGTAAGGACATTGTGTTTATAGCCTGAAATTTCAGAATAACAGTTTGTTACTTGTGCCAAATGCACAAGGACCATATGATTAGTACATTAAATTGAAGTGGAATTCTGATTACTGTTAATAGTTCATTTCTTACTTTCAACACAACATATTCTGTAGATATATTTATGAATCAGTCCTGATTGTTCAGACTAGCCTGTAACCAAGACATGACCCTTAATGTGGTGCCTTGCACACTCTTGATTTGGCCATTACAAATTCTGACTCTTAAAAGTGTTTTATGTGCATCCGTATGTAGGTTTAGGTTATTTCCTTGTTGAAGGAAGGTTATAGATGCATAACAATTTGAGCATCCAAATGTTTGAATTAGTCACTGTTTCTTGATAAAATTGTATGTATGCCATAGAACATTTTTACAGTGTTGATTTGGAAATCTTTATCATAGTGGTGATAAATGGGGAGAAAGGTTTAAATAAATCTTATGGTTCTGAACCAAATCTTATAATGGAATAAACAGTGCTTCTCCAAAACTGTACTTGTTTTTATAACACCTTGTTTTGCTGGTTTGACCTATTACTGTTCAGAGTGGGGTAATGTACTACTTTTTATGGTAAAATGGCACTCCTTAATATGAGATGATACCTGATGAAGAATGGCAGCAGTTAGACTTTGATTAGTAACAGAATTAAACTTGTGTTTTGATGACCAGGATAATTTTTGACTTGGCTTAAGAATATTATGGAAATGGCTGTTTAATATTGGCCCAAGATTAACTTTTCCCCACCAAGAAAACTTGAAATTATAGTCTTAACTACAAGGACTTTCTTAATATGATTTAGCATTTCCAAAGTACACCCTTGGTCCATGCCACCTATGGAGCTCTGTGCCCATAAGCAGACTAATTATGTGTATCACCTGCTGGATTGGGAACCCCAGGCACTATTCAGATGCACATCTGAATAGGGATGCTTTTAGCACATGTATGCCTTTGAATCAGATTCAGCTTTGGATGCATATCCCCACCCACATTCTTAGGTAAGCCGTCATGTGCTAGTAGCTGATGTCGGTTGTTACTCATACTTGGAGTAGCCCGATTGAAATCAATGGATATTGAATCCATTGGTTTCAATAGATCTGCTCTGAGTTACTTGGTTGGACGTTGCCCAGTGTCTTCTCCCCCTTTTTAAAAGAAATGAGCTGGATCAGAGCCCTTGACAATTAAAAAATGAACCTTGCAAAACTGCTAGTATATTACCAAATTGTTTCCTTGGTTACAAAAATAACAAAAAAGGAGACTAATTTAGCAGCCGATCAGCCTAAAATGTCTTTAAACTGGGTTCAGTTTAAGTAACTCTTGAAGTATTCTGTTTAAATCGAATTTAAACAAATTAAACAACTGAGCAAGTTTCTAGTCTGAATCTTGCACTAAACCATGGCTTATTGAACCATGACAGTGTGTTATGTGTGAATTGTGTCTAGCAGCTTAACAATGGCTTTTAGTGGCTTTTTGTTGGCTTACAAACCTTGCTTTCTTTTAAACATGGATTGGCATAGTTAACTTTGGTTTGTTTGCCCACTTCACCCCAGATGCTCACCAAACTGCAAAGGCACAAGGCCAAGAACAGCTGGAAAATAAATCACTTGGAGAAACAATCCATAGTTTGATCACCTTTAGGAAAAATTGTGGTTAACCTCTTTGTTAGGCAAACCATATGAAGCAAGCCACTATGTATGAATCACTTTGCCTGTAGGCTGTGTTCATTATTCAGCTAGGCCCAAATTATTACTGAAAAAATAACTCCTGGGTTAATTCCTAGTTTGTATGTACTGTGTTAATTATGTCAAGAATGTATTCTATAATGAGTACTTTATTGAGATGTTGCTAAAGGTTTAGCCCTTAATCTAAAATATTACCTAATTTCAGTAGATTGTAACTTTAGTAGAGTCACTTCCTATATTAGAATTTTCTATGTTCCAATTTTCTCAAGTTGCTTTTGCAACTCACCCCATCAGCAGAACCAAGAACATGGGAAGGCTTTTATGAAAGCTTCATAGGTGCCTTCCATGAAGATGTTTATGTAAGAATCTAAGAATAACTTGACGTACCTAATTAATAGAATGACCCATGTATAAGTGATACATCTAATTATAAATTTTCTGAAAGTATATGCTAATAGTTCCAATTAGCATATGCTCACCTCAGTAATCCTGTGGTGACAGTTCTTTTTAGAACCATGTATGATTAAATGGCCTAGCGACAATCAATTGATGTTTTTTATGAGAACCGTATATACAAATGGAAGTACAAAAAATATTGCTGCTGTTTAAAATGTCAATACTAACATTGCAAGTTTTAATGACAATTTTAATTACTAATATTGGAGCCCAAGGACAAGGACTGAAGTTCATTTTTCTAGTTTACAGTACATGGAATATACAGTACAGGGAATATGCAGTTCAGAACAACAGTATGACACTCTTGACTAATGGGGAAAGATAAAATGCAATAGCCCAGTCTTTTTGAACTCACGTAAGAACAGTAACATAGACTTGGTATAATATCTAGCTCCTAAAAGCTGTTGCTGCTGCGTTCTTAAACTTGTACCCTAGAAGACGTAGTGTGATATCCAACTAAGTTAGTAATATCCATCAATTTCAATGGGTCTGTTCTAGGTATGGCTAACATTGAATACTGCGCTCAGTTTGGATTAAAGTGTATATTTGTAGTGTGTATTTGGATTTAACATCAGTTTGTATACACATGAGCAGAATCGCATAATGTTTCAAAAGATATTTCACCTCTGCATATGCTATGCAAAGAAATGGTTGGGTTATTTAATGGTTCTAACAGTTTATAACAAATGAACCTTTTTCGTTACATTTGATTACTATTTTTAGGCTAGGCATATATGTAAATACAGTAAATGTATTTTATAAAATTTGGAATTAAACTTGTTTGCACAATATGTATGAAGCTTATTTGTACTCATTAAACCTCCCAGCAACAGCATTTTCCCCCTGCTCCAGTCTTCCCAATTCAGTCCTCCAAGATCTCCATACCTATCCTGTTTAAACTTGTGCATTTTTAAAAAGAAAATTAGTTTTATAAGACTATGGATAACACAAGCTTTTGTTATACCTGAAAACATGTAACTTTTCTGTTTGACATCACCTCGGAACAGTTCTGCCATGAACTTCTTTTCACTGCCGATGGATGTGGGTATTTATCCGTGACTGGAGTTTGATAAAACCTGCTTTGCTTTCATGTTAAATATTTTGTCCCTGGGGAAAAAACAATTCCAGTTTACAAACACAATTCCCCTCATACTTTTATATACATGACTGTTTTAAGGTGAAGATGCCGAAACTTTATTTTTGAATTCAGGAAGCTAATATTTTCATGTGCTATTTTTTCTTTCCTATATACCAGAAAAATCGGATGATTGCTTTTTGGTCTTTTAAAGCATACATTGCTAAAGTTAATAATAATTGGTAGTATCAGCTAAATACAAATTCACAAGCAACTGAAACAAGTCCACTTTTAATTGTACATATCCTGGCATTTTGCTACAGTATATTGCAGACAGGGGCCCTTAGCAATTGATAGCAGTGTTTTAAGTGTGCCCAGTAGCATTCTTACTTATTTTTACTTATTTTGTATGGATACATATTGAAAATTTGACCTCCTGCCTCTTGCTGACAACATGGGGAGTGGAATTTTTTGCCTGTTAAATGTGCCCATTATACTTACATAAGGAAGCAGCTGCTTATGTTTCCCTGCTGTTGAACAAGAGAAACCTTTTTGCCTTAATACAAAATTAGACATAGTCCATTTTGTGGACTATTACACTAAAATACGCTACAGCTGTGCACCAGGATTCTGTAAAAAATTCTCACATACCGAGAATGCATATTAGAAAGGTCAAGTGAATATCACTATAGACTGGACTTCAGAAGCTCAAAACAAGCATTGGGAATACTTCATTTTGTTACATTATAAAAGGTTGCTCTGACTTGGGTGGTAAGAAAGGAAAGGGGACAACAATTGTACTGTATTGTTCATGTTTTATTAGTAATAAATATAACTAGAAATAGTGGGACGTGGTTGGAAAGGGGTTCCTGAGAGGCAAGACTGGTTGCAACATAAAACTGAAAACTAGGTTAGAGATAAGACTGATTTAATAACTTGTAAACTTCACTATCACAATCAGTGTTTCAGATGAATGAAATAATTAAATTTGTTAACGTATTCACCATTGTGTTTCAGTGTTAAGGGTGCATATTTATTTTCCTTCCTAGAACTTATTTTCTAGGCTTATCCTAATTCTTTGTTCAGCCTTGTAAGAACTAGTGTGGTTTTTTTCACAACTGAATAAGCACAGCAACGCAACGTTTACATGGGATTAGGAGAAACAGAGTCTGTATCAGGTTGTTTGAAAATGAAGTACTATATAATTTTGTATTCTGCAATTTGTGCAAAATTCAGGATTGCTGTATTATGTACACAGGCAATCAAAATGCAGCAAAGCAGATAAATTTCCATTACTGAAGAGAAGAAAAACCAGTGTTTGGAAACATGTTAGGCACAATTCAGTCCTGACAGCATGCCATAATGAGAAAACAGCTGCAGGCTCAGTCATATGTCACTGTTTATAAATCAAAGGCAAAATTATAGGCCACGTACAAAATTTTGATTTTGAATAGCTAGGCAAACCTCACAGGAAAAACTAGAACTTCGTGATAACCCAGAAACCAAAAGCCTAAATAAAAATGTGTGGAACATGCTCTAAGCTCAAAAGTAACAGACTAGGACTTGCTGTGAATGTTCATAAAGCCTCATTTCAGTATTATTCCGCCTGCAGTGGAACTGGAAAGAATGAAGCGATATGGGGGTATCTGGAGACAGGTGCGGAAAAGATACTAAAGTCAGTCAGTCCATATTAAACGAGGTGCGGTTTTCTGTTAACTCCCATCCCACCTGGGTTAGGTATTGTGTTCCCGCCACACACAATCCCGTGCCACTTATGAAAATAAAGGAAACCCACGCGGCGAGTGTTTTCTGTCCCGGCTTTTTTTGGGACGATCCTCTCTGATGCTCGGCTGCGCTTATAAGTAACCAATATTTTATTCCCGGAGGCCACGGGGGGCGGGGGGCGGTTCGTGAAAAGACAGCGCTCAAAACGCAGCTGCCAAGCCCAGCACGAAGAAATGTGTACAAGCAAAAAATAAATAAATCCTGATGCAGAAACCCGGATATTTCTTCTACGACAATCTTTCTTTTAATCGAGACCCGCCCTGCTTTTCTTTTCTTCCTTTTTTCCCTACAGCAAAACACAAGCGCACCATTTCCTAGCACCGTACAAGCAGCTCAGCTACTGTTTATACTGCTGGCCGCGCGGTGCCTGTCGGGAAAGAATGCGTAACAAGACGAAATTGGGGCGGAGTCAACTGAGCCAGTGACGTCGCTCGAGAAGCGTCTCTTTGGCCACTCAGGTGGTGGATGGGGGTTTTCTTTTTCCTCCCCCCCTTAATTAACCCCTTCGCTCCAATTCCGGTTCGCGAAGCCGGTTCTCTTTTGTCGGCATTCCGCATCCGGCGTGACAACGTCACTTCCTGCCGGCGCCGACGTTCGGCTCGCTCCCTTTCTCTCTCTGTCTCTCTTTCCCCCTCTCCCTTTTCCCTCCCCCCCTTCTCCGGACCCGGATGCTGACTGGTGGCGGCGGCTCCTTTCGGGACTGTCACTGAGCGGCTCCGCCGGGCCTCTTGTCCTGCGCGATGGCGGCGGAGGAGGCCGGGGGAGCGTCTTGTTCCTCGGCGCCGGGGCCGGTGTCGACGGGCCCCGGGCCGGGCCTCTGCGAGTGGCTCCTGCTGCGGGACGGCTGCCTGCGTTGCGACGCCGACGGGCTCTGCAGCCTCTGTTACCACCCTGCGCTTAACGCCATCCTGGCCGTGACCGCCCACGGCGCCATCAAAGTCATCGACGGCACCTCAGGGGCGACGCTGCAGGCGTCGGCGCTCAGCGGTGAGGGGGCAAGGAGGCCGGGTCAGGCCTCGAAACCGGGCCCGGCGGCCGGGGGGGGAGGGGGAGGGAGGGTGAAGGAGAGGGAAGCCGGGTGGGGGGGCGGCGGGAGGAGACGCCGCTGAGGCTCCGAAGACCTCCCCCCCTCCTCCTGCCGGCTGGGTTGCTAATGTGGCGGTTGGGCCTGGAAGTCCCTTTCCTCAGCTGACATAGCGCGGAGGTGAGCCGGCGTCTTTGTGCCCACCCTTCCGTTCTCCTTCCCTACTTTCGAGGAAGTCAGGAGAGAGACAAGGAGCCGGCCGGGGCTGTTAAAGCGAGTGGGTGGGAAGGGAGGGAGGTAGGTGGCTTTGGGAGTCCGAAGTTGCCTGTCGTCATCCGGGCCTTCCCAAAGGGTTTCCTTTCTCTTTTAAGCGCTTTCTCTTTTCCTCCCCCTATAAATCTCTCGCTTTAAAATCTCGGTTGTTCCCGCTCTTGCTTCCCAGACAAGTCTCTAAAGACAGAGCCTGTACCTACGGGGTTGGGGTGGGGAGCAGGGTTTTTCTCTTTACAAAAAGATGGAAGCTTAAAGCTCTTTTCTGTAGGAAATAGAAGATCATTGCTTGTGACACACATGCATGTGTTTGGCTGCCTTTGTATGTGTTAGCCAGCCAGGATTGGCTGTGGTTTCTCTGTGTTGTGTTTCTGTGCATGGCAAAATGGATGTGGTAATCTGTGTTCGGATTGTACTCAGTTAAGGATACCAAAAGCACTTCCATTTAGGATCTCGTGTAGGAATTAAATCAGGTTTATTTCTTGGATACATTGACTTAGAAATACCAAGTTTTAAAATAAAGATAGTAGTATGGAAAAATTACTCTTCTGCTTCTGATATATTATGGCTTATGGTGTTATAGCTAAATCAATCTTTTGATGTTTTGAACATTCTTTGTTGATGAAAACAGTTGTACAGAAACATGTTATTGGTATTTTAAAGATATTTGTCTTAAGCCCTTTGACAGATTTATATCGTATAATCTAAATGTAAATATATAGAAAATGAAATAGCATGTATTACTGAAGAAGGGATGGAAATGTAAGATTTGTATATTATTTGTGCACCACACTTTGTGTTTTGTGTATTAGTATTATTATTGATTGACTTTATATACCGCCCTATACACAGGGGTCTCAGGACGGTTCACATAAGGTTTGGGTTGTTCGATTTCATGCAAAATAGGAGAAAACCAAAGATATCTAGGATAGTACTGAAAATTATCAGGAACAAGAGTGCGTACATAGAAGAATATTTTAGACTACAAGAAGGTTAAATGATACTGTCTATAAAAAGCCACTATGGTCTTGTAGCTAATGTTGAACTGCTCAAATCCTTGCTCAGCTGTGCAATCCTAGACCACCATAGCCAGCATGCTGATTTTCTTTTTCCTCTACTGATATTCACATAGAAGTTTTCCTAACCAACCATAGATTGCCCACTGTGCACACTGGATATTTGTCTGTACTTTATGCTTCATCCAGAGTTTCTGATCTGTGAACAGAAGGACTTCCGTTAGGAAAAGAGTTTCCGATCTAGTGAGGGCTTCCGCTGGAGGAAGATGGATGGAGAGATAACTTGAGCTGCTTTCCCCTTTCCTACTACAGCCCTCAGTACCACTTCCCATGCTGTTTTGTTTAGTCCCTCAACTCCCTGGAACAGATATTTGAGTGTTAGGCGGCAATGGTGGGTTGGGGTGAGAAATTCCAACCTGGGTATTTGTGGTTGTCCTGTCAGCCGGGCCCCTGGGTCAGTGGCTGCTGTTGCTGAATGCCAGGTCCATTCTAGTAAGCCCTCCCTCATTTTTTATCTGATTATGGCCGAGGAGGCCAATATGGTCTGTATTACCAAGACCTGAGTTGGTGAGCAGGGTAGAGTTGTTCTCACACACCTGTGCTCAACTTGGTACTTGGTGCAGCATCAGGGCAGACTTGTGGGTCAGGGAGGGGGAGTTGCTGTAGTCTGTAGGAAAACTGGTCAAATGCAATTGCCCTGGTAAGGGCTCATCATTGAGTTACCTAGTGCATTGAAGGCAGCAAAGAAGGGATACTTTGCAGCCTCCATTGCATCCTCATTGTGTCGTCTGGCAGAGCTTTTCCGGGTAGTGCAGGGCCTCTACAGTCTGGCCTGAAGGAGGTGGCAGAACCAACGGTAGCTTGCGGTGACTTGTTTGCAAAGCATTTTGAGGATAAAATCACTTGCATCCACCGGGATCTTGACATCACTGTTACAGCAGATGACCCCAAGGGCTGTTCACATCACTGTCTAGTTCTGTTGTGTGGGATGAGTTCAGTTAGTAAGGCTCAAGGATGTGGACAAGGTGCTTGGATTGGTAAGGGCGACCATTTTCCCTCTGCTCCCTTTCCCCTCTTGTCTGATGAAAACTAGCTGGGGCGGGGGGGGGGCAGGTTTCCTCATGAAACCCTCCCTGGATTAGGCAAACCTAAGTGACTACCAGCCAGTTGCTAGTCTCTTCTTCTTGGGCAAGGTTCTTGCACAGACGGTCATGGATGTGATGCAGGTGCTCCTGGAGGAAATGGAGTTTCTTGATCTATTTCAATCTGGGTTTAAGCCTGGTTTTGGCACAGAAACTGCTTGGGTCACCCTGTACAAGTACCTCTGTTCAGTGAGAGACGGGGAAAATGTGTCACTGTTAATTCTCCTCAACCACTCAGTGGCTTTCAATGCCATGACCATGGTATTCTTCTGTTGCAGCTGTCCAAGTTAGGGGTGGGTGACAATGCTTTGTAGTGATTCTGGTCCTACTTGGATGGACATTTCCAGAGGGTAATGCTTAGGGCAGGCATCTTCAAACTATGGTCCGCGGGCCGGATCTGGCCCACCAGGCTCGTTAATCCAGCCTGTGGACCCTGCCACCCACTTGGTCAGTCCCCGTGCACTGAGCTAAACCAGCGCGGCGTGGCATTTCCTTTAAATGAAGCCACAGATGCCTCGCTGCACGGGGACTGACTTCCGCGACATTGCCGCGGCTTCAGATTGGCTGCAGGAAGCTTCTGCAGCCAATCCGAGTCCCTGCGCTTAGGCAAACTCCTGTCCATCCAACCTCCATGCATTACAAAGCTGAGCTGCAGCTGCTACCGAAAGTCTGGTGCTCCCCAGCGAGCTCTTCCAGAGTCATATTGCAGCTGCAGATCCCTGCAAAGAAACAAATCCAATGGGAGAGGCAGCCTTCAATCCTCTTCCTCCTCCTCGATCTGCTCCCTTGCTTCTCTGCTCCTCTGGCTGCCCTGTGGGGAACCTGTGGTAAGTGTAACTCCAGCAGTCAAATCCTCAGGGCAGTGGTGCTGCTTCATCCTTCTCTGGGCTGGAGTTATCCTGCCAACGTCTCCCGCCGTTTACATGCGGACACCCTATCAGGGCATGCAAAGGAGCTGGGGTGTTTGACTTGGGGTCACCCTTGGAAAAGAGAGCGAGCGATCCAGGCTGGGAAAGCTGGGTCAGTAACTTTGCCTCCCCTCGCCCTGCGCTGATTGGCAGAGGGAGAAGTTTTGCTTGGAGAGTAGCAGGGCGACGTCCCTGGTCTCTGCGTGGGTGTTTTGTGCCCCCCCTTCCCACCCATGTGATTTACATGCTCTGAAAGTCGGGATCTGGTTTTATATTTAATTTTTTAAAAAAACTATAGTACAGCCCTTGACAGTGTCTGAGAGACAGTGAACCAGCCCCCTGTTTAAAAAGTTTGGGGGGCCCTGGCTTAGGGAGTGCTCTTTGGCCCTGTGGAGCCTTCAATGTGTGGTTTCTTAGGGTTCAATTTTATCCCTGGTGCTGTTTGGCATCTACATGTGTTCAACTTCTGATTTTGTTGTTTTATGTTCTGAACCACCCTATGACCTTTGGATGAACCAATTTGGATGTATACAAATAATCATCATCATCATCATCACCAAAAATCAGTAGTGGAAATGGCTAATTCTCCTGCAGGCAAGCTTGGGGTCAGCTCTTTGTGAGCAGAATTACTGGCTAAATGTTAGTATGAAATCAGTACTTAAAATAAAAACGAATCTTGAGTTTATGTTTATTCATCAGGAAAGAGGAAAAGTTGACCTGATGAGCAAATTAGCTTGGTTAAGCTCCTTCTGTAGAGTGGGGTGTAGCAAGGCGGATGAGAGGGTTGTGTGATAGCTCACTTATTTTTGTTTGTGACCTTTGAAATCACCTGCCACATTTCTTTATAAAAGCATAGATGTGTACATATTCAGCCTGTGAAATTGCCTGGCTTTTCAAAGTATATTTAGAAGATGATTGGCAAGTACTAAAAATAAATTCTGGAATAAAAAT